AGAGAAAGTGAAGATGGCAATGTAGTAGCACACCATTAACTCCCTTGATGAAGGTTATTTAATCCTCACCCTTTTTTTTTCTACCTCTTGCTTAGTCTTGGATCACCTCCTTATATAGGCCAAGTGAGAGGTTGGGTGATGTCAGATGATATCACATGTGGGGCCCATTAACATTATAAAATAAAGTTAATTAAGATGGGTCCAAAATGTATGGGAGTCAAAATGGTATCTCTCCTCTATGAGTCAGGTCGAGTGTCAATTCGACGAGCCCTAAACTTCATCCACCAAACCAAGAAGTGAGATATATTCAACACCTACAAACATCAAGATAAAAATAATAATAATAATAATAATAATGATAAATCAAACTACTAGCTAGTGGGGGCAATAGTGGAATTTTTCTATAATTCCAATGGTGGCAGTATTAAAATTTTATAAATATGTAATTCAAATATAGAAAAAAATAATAATAAAAAAAATATATAATAAAAAAAATAGTAATATAATACTAAAAAAAAAATTTTAAGTGGGAACCTTGCATCGGTTCATGCTAGGAGGAAAGTAGGGATGCAACTCGGGAGGATTCGGCAGGTTAAAGGGTTCAACTTGAGATATAAAATCATCAAAACTCTTGTTAAATATAAAAGAGTGTATAAAACTTTGTATTGTATTGATGTGTAAAATATAAGAATAAGTATGGGTTTATATAGGAGACATAATGTGTGGAGGGCAAGTAAACCTAAACCCTATATGGTAGACCTATACATGGCAACAATAGATTATAGGATATATTCTAACAACCCCCTCAAAGTCAATGTGGGTTATATGAAGGCATCTTGAGTTTGAAGACAATCCTTTCATCCTAATGTAGCTGACGTACGCTGATGCTAACGTGGTTGATGACATGACAACTGGAGTGGCAGGTGGCTTGGCATTATTACTGGCACCTTTGCTGTATGGCAAATGATGTGGCAGGTGATATGGCAGGTGACGTGGCACAACTACTGACACCGTTGCAGAATGTGTCTGACATTGCACCAATGCATGTCAGGTAACATAGGGTGGATCTGTGAAAATCTTAGAGGTAGGTGCGGAGTGTGAATAAGTTAACGTTGCCATCCTCGGAGGTAACTAGTATAACTGATGGGTGATGAATTTGTGAAGATTCACCACGTTAAAGGCGCATGTAAGCATATGATGACCACTGATGGTGCGTGGTGGCGCGGTGACAGAGCTAATTTGACACGTTGAGGTGCGGAATTACCGCTGGTGCACATGAAACCTCATGGAAGAGTGGGGTCTGAGGCGTATGGTAACGCAGTTGGAGTGCGAAAACGTGAGGATTGGGCTAATGGTGCCATCCCTGGCGGTGACTACGATAAACTGATAAACTGCTTACAAAAGCTCTGATACCATGTTAGAAATAAAGAGGCAGAAAATATTATATTGTATTGATGTGATAATACATAGAGGTTTATATAGAAGATGACATGTGTGGAAGGCAAGTAAACCTAAACCTTATATGGTAAACCTATACATGATAACAATATATTGTAGAATATATTCTAACAACTCTAACTCAACCCAACCATCAACTCGAGTCCAACCCATTCTTAATTTTTTAAGCTCAGATTGAATTCGGGCATCCAACTTGGGTTACTATCTGGGGATATTCTCCCGTGTAAGTTCAAGATATTGGCATAACTTAATAACAAATTGATGAAAAGCTAATAAGTTCAATATGACATTGCATAATCAATAACGAAAGAGAAAGAGAGAAGAAAGGAAGACTAAGGTGAGATGAGAGATCTAACTTAGGATAACCATCCTGGAAATTGATGGATAGTTTCAAAAGATTTGATACAGTGTATTGCATATCTGTTACAACCAAGTGAACCACTAAATAACCAATCATATGCAACCAACACAAAAATGGTTATCTATACATATATATAATATTACATATATATAAGTATGGCTGCAAATGAATCAAGCGATTTGAGCTTTAGGTTGTTCGAGCTTGGCTCGCCTAGGCCAGAAAGGTGCTCGGGCTCGGCTCGGTTCGGCTTAGCATGGCAATTTCTTGATAAACTCGGCTTAACCTCGAGTGTGTATATATACACACAAATCAATTAACTATTTTCGAAGGCAAAGCCTTCATCTCTTTCAAAATAGATTTTGTGATGTTGTGGCCAGAATTTGGTGCTAGGTCACGTTGTGATTCAATGACCTGTTAGATGAGCTTTGTGTAGGCCCAAGCCATTAAAGCTCTGAGGGTTCGAGGGCTTGGAGCCAAGGAAAATTTTTGATCTGTTTTTGCTCATGGGTCGTGGACCCTGATTAGTACTCTCTTGTAGCCCGATATATAAGAGCGTTTAGGGTTTGAAATTGGTTATGAAAGAGACACTAAAATTCGTACATAATAAAGAATGAGAGGCTGAAACTTGTAATCTGCGATTTTATACATAGTGAAAAATTTTACAGGATCTTCACCGTGAAGTAGGCTTTGCCGAATTACGTATAAATCTTTACGTTTTTTGTGTGGTGTGTTTATTTTTCTGTCGTGTTATCGTAATTGTTATTTGGTTTGCTGCATTTGTCGTAACAGATTTCATGTTCACAAATCTCCTCTAATCTTCGTCATTTCGTTCCCCAACTTCAAATTTCAACCATAAATCTCCGATTCATCACTTATCAGGTGGAATATATATAGAGAAAGGGAGCTAATCTAGATGTGGACAGTGGAGTCAAAGGATCCGTTGCAGAGGCTATTGGAGTTGCAAAAACATCGTGGCTAGCTTCGGCTGTATATATCTATGGCGATGATTAAGAATTTTTTTTTTTCTTCTAGCTTTTCATTGGCAAGAAAGTCACACACACCCACTTTACCTCTAATAGAACTTGAACCCTCGACCTTCTTTTTTAGAAGGTGAAAAAGTACCACTGGATCACAACTTTTGCTAGTAATGGTAAGGAGTTTTCAAAATCATGGGTCATATATTTAAAGAGTATAAGTATATAAGATGTATATGAACTATTTGTATTCTTATTATTGGGTCAAGTATATTGGGTCTCATATGTATTTACAAAATAACTATTTAATGGAATTCAAATCTAGACCTTAAAATGACTACGCGAGCCTCGTATGTATTTAAAAAATAACTATTTAATGGGATTCAAATCTGAATCTTATAATCACTACACTGGGCCTCATATATACAATGGGCTGAATATCATATAGAAACCTATTGTAGATTTTATAATCAAACTCAACGTTGTTTAAGTTCGACTCAATTATCAAATCAGCCTGGGAATGTATTTAAGCTCGGATCGTTTACTTAATGAATGAGCTCAAGTTGAGCTTTTAATAAGCCGAACCCGAGTTGTTTATGAATAACTCGGTTTATTTGCAGCCCTATATATTGGGTTCATTATTCGAGTTCGTTGAATTCTATAATTCGAGACAAGTTCGGGTTGCGCTTCAGGTTGACTGACACAATAACCCAAGCTTGGTCCGATGAAATCAAATTGATACTTTTAACCAAAGTCCGAACCAAATTGCAATTTACGTAGCCCTAAGTTTGAAATTTTTTAATTGGGCTCGGATTGGTTCGGTTTAGGCTAGCTAGCCCGAATAGCACCCCTGGAGGAAAGATATGTAGATGTTTATTGCATCAAGGTAGGGCCCATTTGGTTTCCTCTTTTGGCTGGAATATCATTATCCTTTTATAAAAAAAGTGGACCTAAGGACTGACATAAGTTACTTCTGTAGAACAGTGCAACTAGGGATGGCAACGAGGCAGTTTGGGGCCGGGAATGCCAACCCCACCCCCATCCCCGTTTAGTATAGCTCTCACATTCCTGTCCCAAAACCATTTATTAAACGAGGCGAGGGCGGAGAATGGCGGGTTTAGGAGAGTTTTGTAATTGTATTACGAATTTAATGAATGTAAATAATAATAATAATATATTCAACCATGGTGATAGTTTCTTCTCTCTTACACGGATAAGATTAATATTCAAAGATTTAATATTATTGTAGAAATATCAAAATAATACATAAAAGTTCTCAAATAAAAATAATATAGATGAAAATCGAACTCTTTCCTTTCATTTTGAAATTAGAGGACATGCCACTAGGCCATGTCATGGCAGTAATTTTCTATATTTGTAGTGTCTTTACCAACAATATTCACTTTTCTTTTTCTTTTTTTCGGAAATCAAAGTAATGTTTTTATTTATTTATTTATTTCATTGACAACCACACCCACTTTGAAGCAATGTATTAATGTGGAACTGTGAGTATATATATTTACAATGTTTTATATGGGCCTATAGATGCAATATAATTGAATAGTCCCAGCAAAAGCAAGCCCATAACCATTAGTAGCCCGAAACAAAAAGGTCCAAAAGACTTTGACAGAAGCAAACAAGCTTTCAAAGAAGTGGCCATTGAGAAAAAGTACATCACACTCGAATCCGGTTGTGAAACCAATCGATTGCATGCCTGGTGGTTGAGGCATAGAAGAAAGATAAGAGGTCCCATTCCAATTGAACTTGCTTTGAAAAGTTCATTCTCTTCTTAGGGAGGCTTCAACATTGGGGAATGCATCTTCTCCGATAATTTTTCAAACAAATAAACACCATCTAAAGACTCTCACTCTGTATGTGTGTGTATGTATACATCCGTCCTATAATAGTTGTCAATTTAGAAAATTTTGACTTACTACCACATTTTATTTTTGAATTATTTAATATCATTTTTAGTCATATTCATTTAATATACTTATATACTAGAGATCTATATGGGTAACTTTAATTTACAAAAATTGTAAATCAAAATTTTTAAAGTTCACTAATATGAAACCGAAGAAGTATACATATGACTAGCCCCAATGCACCAAACTTCCTATTGGGGAGTCTAAGAATGGTCCACATTAGTCATTCAAAACACAATGATGAGCCCAGCGTGTAAACCACTCAACAAATTAATAGACATATCTCTCTAATTCATTATGTAAAGCCCATCTCCTCACACCAAACCTATAACATTTTAACACCTAAGTGCACCATGGAAACTACCCAATTACAAACACCACACATGGCTATTTTACCCACACCTGGGATGGGTCACCTGATCCCACTCGCTGAGTTCGCCAAACGACTCGTCCTCCACCATAACTTTTCCGTCACCTTCATCTTTCCTACTGATGGTTCGTCAATGGAACCCCAAAAGGCCATTCTTGAATCCCTACCCAACTCCATAAACTCCATCTTTCTTCCACCGGTTAGCTTCGACGACCTCCCCGAGGACGCAAAAGCCGAGAATCGGATAGTACTCAGCGTGACTCGGTCACTCCCGGCTCTCCGCGACACGTTGAAGGCCTTAACCGAGTCAACTCATCTATCTGCTCTGGTGGTTGATCTTTTTGGCATTCCCACCTTTGATGTGGCTAGAGAATTCAGTGTCCCACCCTACATTTTCTTCTCTACAACAGCTATGGTATTGATGTTATTCCTCTATTTACCCAGGCTTGATGAGACCTTGGATTGCGAGTGCAGAGATCTACCTGAACCGGTGAAATTACCCGGGTGCGTTCCGGTTCACAGGGTTGACTTGCCTGACCCGGTTCAAGATAGAAAGTGTGATGTCTATAAAAATTGTCTTTTTTCAGCCAAACAGTATCTTAGGGCTCATGGAATAGTGATTAATAGCTTCTTGGACTTGGAACCGGGCGCTTTTAAAGCTTTGAAGGAAAATAATTGGCCGGGTTCACCCCCGGTTTACCCTGTTGGACCGCTGGTTCAGACCGGTTCAGCAAGTGGGGTTAGTGGTTTAGAGTGTTTGAGTTGGTTAAATGAGCAGCCACTTGGGTCTGTCCTATATGTTTCTTTTGGTAGTGGAGGGACGCTGTCCCATGAGCAGCTCAAAGAATTGGCTTTGGGATTGGAAATGAGTGGGCAAAGATTTTTATGGGTTGTTAGGAGTCCACACGAAAAAGTGGCAAATGCCAATTACTTTAGTGTCCAAAGTAGTATGAATATGAACCCCTTTGATTTTTTACCAGAAGGGTTCATGGACAGAACCAAAGGGTTGGGACTGGTGGTGGACTCATGGGCTCCTCAGATTGAAGTCCTGAGCCATGGGTCCACTGGAGGATTTGTGACTCATTGTGGATGGAACTCGGCCCTAGAGGGTATAGTCCATAGTGTGCCGTTAATTGCATGGCCACTGTACGCAGAGCAAAGGATGAATGTGGTATTATTGACTGAGGATCTGAAGGTTGCATTAAGGGTCAAGGTGAACGAAAATGGCATTGTGGGAAGGGAAGCGATTTCGGAATATGTGAAGGGGCTCATTGTAGGAGAAGATGGGAAGTTTCTTCAAAATAGGATGAGAGATCTAAAAGATGCAGCTGCAAATGCTTTGAGACAAGATGGGTCATCTTCAAAGTCACTAGCAGAGTTGGCTCAGATATGGAGGGACAAGAAAAGCAAATAAAATAATGCAGCTTAATTCATTTAATTTTCAGTGTCATATCACTAAATGTGTATCTAATAACATATGATGAGTGATGGATAATTCATTAAGGGCTTATTTGATATGCATTTTGTTTTTGCATTTTTATTTTAACTCTTTATTGTATGGCGTTTTGAATATTAATCGAAAGCATATTTGGTAATATTTATTTATTGCAAAATTTTTTGAAGCAAAAAATATAAAAAGGACAATGTTTCAGTCGTGCCCCATCAATCAATACAGATTGTGTCATGCACACTAACATGTCCTATTAAGAGGTTGACACCTCTTTTAAATTTAGAAAAATACAAAACATGAGTTATATCCATTTTTTATAGTTAAACCCGACATATCTATTTTTTTTTTTACTCAACTTTGAATGTTATTTTTAATTAACTGATCATGTAAAATTGTATTTTCTACTTTTCTTTATTTTTAATTTTCTTAAGATAGAAAATTATCCTTAAAAAAATTAAACTAACCATTTCTATTTTTCCCTTTTTAAAATTCACTTCAACTGTTTTGTATGCATGCTATATATGAAAGTTATTCATTTTTTCACTAAATTCTACGGTTTCTATCTTATTTTTATTTCCTACCTACCTTTTTCTGTAAATAAAAATGAAAGCAAAAGGAACAGAACAGAAATAATTGTCCTCGTTTTTTAAAGCGAAAAAAACTTAAAATTTGAACAAAATCTCTTACTCGATGAGCCATTTGAAAGAGAAAACAATTACACGCCAGACAAATATAATATTTTAACAAACCTGTTTTAAGAAAATGAATCAATCCTTAAGACCAAATCGAAATCGAAATCCAATCTGAAGCGAAGTGGTGGAGGACACAATGAGAATATTAGGTTTGGAATGATTGGCGGCTAAGGAAAAAGAAATATGCAGATAAAGATACACAGATGGGAGCAAAGAGAGGAAAAAAAATAGATCTGTCAGGTTTAACTCTAAAAAATAGGCATAACCCATGTTTTGTATTTTTTTAAGTTTAAAAGAGGTGTCAACCTCTTATTGGGATACGTTAGTGTGCATGACACAATCTGTCTTGATGGGGCAGGACTCAAGTATTTTCCATATAAAAATATGTTTGATAAAAAGTATTGCAAGTTAAAAAAATATAATGACTAGTTATAGTGCGGAATCATGTAAAAACACCAAATTAGTGTTTCGAATTTTGACCATTATCTACAAAACGTTTGGCACTGTAGACTAAACACATTTTTTTCACTATTTACTGCTATAATTCCTGACAAAAACAAAAACAAAAACAAAAAGACTTAAACCAAAACGCATACCAAACAAGCACCAAGTGAATAGACTTTAGTTTCATGTAATAGGGGTAGGCCTAAAATTGGCAACCATATGCAATGGACTTCTATGTTTAGTGTTCCTTCTACACAGATTGTCTACTCAATTAACAGTGAATTAAGGTCATGGCCTCATCAATTAGGAATTGGAGAAAGATCCTATTAAGTATCTTGGAGCCCCACTGGTAATCTCCTTTTTTAGCACTTATTTATTTTGAGTAGCTCCTTCTGGCCAGTTGTAGTTGGTTGTTTTATGCTTGCTGGCTTCTTGTTTGTGTTGCTTTGTTTTTGCCTTTGCTTGGCTACGGCCTAACCTTGTATTGTTTTGTTCTCCTCAAGAAAGCTTAATTACTTAAAAAACAAATATCAAACAAACACCTTCTAAACACTCCCACTCTTACGTGTATGTATATGTAGGATTACCTCAATGCACGAGATTCTCAGTTGTTATGAAAAAACAAAAAGAAATGTTGTTCATTGATTTGAGACCCACCCTCACTCTGCACATATATGTATATATATTTGTTAGACAGAGCAGTTGTATATATAGTATTGATGTATGAGATGTGAGATATTACATAAAGGTCCTATATATAGGAAAAGATTTTGGGATAGGTGAGTGATGAACAAATAACCTATACATACTAATATGGTAGGTGTACTTATATATGGTAATTTGTAATATGCAATAAACCTAGATGGTAGGTAAATGGATAAACTTGTAATCTAACCACATCTGCTGCTTTTGAGGAGGATAAAAGTGGAAGCTTAGCTGGTTGATGGATTGTGTTCTTAGAAGTTTAAAGTTGGTTATAGATGTACCATGTTTGGTGTTGATCTTTTTCCAAGGGCTCACTGTAAATTCTTCAATCTTATATACAAGCTTACCTTTAAAAAAAAAAACAGTCCGGCCCCCTCAAACTCAAGGTAAGTATGAACCAACTTGAGATTGAAGGCAAGATCATAAAATTTGATGAAATTTTGGTGGAGATAGGTTTTTACCCGTGATGATGATGGAGGCACGATTAACAGTTGACATGGCACTATTGCTGGCACCGCTGCTGACTGTGTCTGACATGACAATTGATGTAGGGTGGGTGAGTGATGAACAAATAACCTTTATATACTAATATGGTAGGTGTACTCATGTAATTTGTAATATTCAATAAACCTATATGGTAGGTAAATAGGTAAACTTGTAATATAACAGTCCCCTCAAACTCAAGGTAAGTATGAACTCAACTTGAGATTAAAGGTAAGATCATGAAAGTTGATGGAATTTTGGTGGAGATGGGTTTTCACTCATGATGATGATGGAGACACAATCAAGGACGGATCCAGGAATTTGTGTAAGGGGGGCAATAGTGTGATTTTTTTGTAATTTCATAAGTATATAGCTCAAAAAGGAAAAATCAGTAGTATTAATGCTAAAAAAAAAAAAAAAAAAAAAAGAAGTCATTGGGGCCAATTGCCCCCTGGATGTATGCTAGATCCGTCTCTGGGCACAATTAACATGTAACGTGGTACTACTGCTGGCACCGCTACTGATTGTGTCTGACATGGCAACTGACGTGGCAGGTGACATGGTACCGCTGCTGGCTGTGTCGATATGGCAACTGTCGTGGCAGGTGATGCACTACTACTAGCACCACTGTTGATGTGTCTTGGAGGCTGATTGGGCAGCCAAATACGACTTTTTGCTGATTATGGAGGACTTGAGACTAAAGGTTGAGATGCGAAAGTATAAGTTTGAAACATGATTTGCCGGTTTATCGTCGCCACCAAGGATGGGGCTAATGGTACTATCCCCGACGGTGACTACGATAAATTAATAAATTGTTTATCAAATATCGAAAGTCTCTGATATCATATTAAATATAAGAGATAGAGCAATTATATATTGTATTGATGTATGAGATGTGAGATATTATATAAAGGTTTTATATATAGGAAAATGTTTGGGGTAAGTAAGTGATATTGAACAAGTAATCTATTGGTGTACTTATGTATGGTAATTTGTAATATGCAATAAATCTAGATGGTAGGTAAATGAATAAATTTATAATCTAACAATATTGACATTACATCATATATTAGTCCATACCTTCGTCAAACCTTAAACATTCATTATTCAAAATATAGGTAATTAATAAATAATATTCGCATTAAACCACCATTAAAGTAATTCAAGTATATTTTTATTAAAATATTCCCAACACAACATTAATATTCAAAACATAATGATCAGCATCTCTCTCATTCATTGTGTGCGTGTGTGTGTGTGTGTATATATATATATATATACATATATATAAAGATTGGGTAGAGCCTATTCCTCACATATTAACAACTAAGTGCGCCATGGAAGCTACCCAATTACAAACACCCCACATAGCTATTTTACCCTCACCAGGGATGAGTCACCTCATCCCACTCACTGCGTTCGCCAAACGACTCGTTCTCCACCATAACTTTTCCGTCACCTTCATCTTCTTCCCCACCGATGGTTCACCAATGGAACCCCTAAAAGCCATTCTTGAAACCCTACCCAAGTCCATACACACCATCTTCCTTCCACCGGTTAGCTTCGACGACCTCCCTGAGGACCTAAATGTCGAAACTCGTATAGCCGTCAGCGTGACTCGATCACTCCCGGTTCTCCGCGAAACGTTGAAGGCCTTAACCGAGTCAACTCATCTATCTGCTCTGGTGGTTGATATATTTGGCATTGCCACCTTTGATGTGGCCAAAGAATTCAATGTCCCACCCTACATTTTCTTCCCTATGTCAGCAATGGCATTATTGTTCATCTTCAATTTACCCAAGCTTGATGAGACTTTTGATTGCGAGTACAGAGATCTACCCGAACCGGTGAAATTACCCGGGTGCGTTCCGGTTCACGGGGTTGACTTGCCTGACCTGGTTCAAGATAGAAAGAGTGATGTCTACAAAAATTGTCTATTCAGAACCAAACAGTATAACAAGGCACATGGAATAATGATTAATAGCTTCTTGGACTTGGAACCGGGTGCTTTTAAAGCTTTGAAAGAAGATTATAGACCGGGTTCACCACCGATTTACCATGTTGGACCGCTGGTTCAGACCGGTTCAACAAGTGGGGTCAGTGGTTTAGAGTGCTTGAGTTGGTTAAATGAACAGCCACTAGGGTCTGTCTTATATGTTTCTTTTGGTAGTGGAGGGACACTGTCCCATGAGCAGCTCAAAGAATTGGCTCTGGGATTGGAAATGAGTGGGCAAAGATTTTTATGGGTCATTAGGAGTCCACATGAAAAAGTTGCAAATGCCAATTACTTTAATGTCCAAAGTAGTATGAATATGAACCCCTTTGATTTTTTACCAAAGGGGTTCATGGACAGGACCAAAGGGTTGGGATTGGTGGTGGACTCGTGGGCTTCTCAGATTGAAGTCCTAAGCCACGGGTCCACTGGAGGGTTCGTGACCCATTGTGGATGGAACTCAACACTAGAGAGTATAATTTATGGTGTGCCCTTAATTGCATGGCCACTCTACGCAGAGCAAAAGATGAACACGGTATTACTGACTGAAGATCTGAAAGTTGCGTTAAAGGTCAAGGTGAACGAAAATGGCATTGTGGAAAGGAAAGTGATTTCGGAATATGTCAAGGGGCTTATTGTAGGAGAAGAAGGGAAGTTGCTTCAAAATAGGATGAGAGATCTAAAGGATGCAGCTGCAAAGGTTTTGAGTCGAGATGGATCGTCTTCGAAGTCACTAGCAGGGTTGACTCATATATGGAGAAACAAAAGCAAATAAAAATAATGCAGCTTGATTAATTTAATTTAATTTAATTTATAATGTCTCTTTCCTTTAATTTTCAGTGTCCTAACCCGAAATTTGTACGTCACTACACGTGACGAGTATGATTGATAATATAGTGCATAACTAGGGTTTAGTCTCATGTAATAAAGGGAGGCCTAAAATTGGCAACTAAATGGACTGCACTTTATGTTTAGTGTTCCTTCTACACAGTTTGCCTACCAAATTAATTAATTAATAGGGCTAAAATCTAAAAACTCCCTTGTTATTTACAAAAATTATCTATTAACCCCCTCAAGTATAGAAACTATCATAATACCCCTCAATGTTTTTTAAAATATATCATATCGCCCCTTCTCGTTAGTTGACCGTCTAAAATTAACGTCTTCTTAACCCGTGACCGTCACGTTATCATATACCCCAATATAATGACGAATTACCCTTGAACAGAAGGAAATGACGAAATTACCCTTCTATTTTTTTATCTTCTTCTTCTGTTTCGTTATTTTTTGTTTTTTTCTTATCTTCTTCTTCTCTGTCGTTGCACTGGTGTGAGAAATACTCCATAGAAGATCTCAGGTATCTTCCCTTCTTCTCTTCTTCTCCCTTTTCTTCATCTTTTATCTCTCTTCTCTTCTTCGTGTCTGTCGTTTAAGTGGTGTGAGGATTCTCCATAGCAGCTGTAACAGAACCCTAATTGATCTATTGAATTCTCCAACTGATGATTTGAAGCCCTAATCGATCTATTGAAGTTCCCAATTGATTATTTGAAGCCCTAAATCGCAGCCATTGTGTGCCCTATTTGAAGCCCTAAACCACAATCAGCCGAAGCCCAAATGTCTTCTTCCACCACACAATCTGTTAATCGGCTGGACGGCGATCTGCGACGACGAGACATGCGTGCCGGCAATCGTGCAGAGACTGATGAAGGCATCGACTACGGCGACGGAGCATGGGATTGTGGTGCTTTAGAGCTATGTTATGTGTCCCGCAATCGGATGGCGCACAAGGCGGTGATTTTCAAAATCGATATCTTTTCTAATTGCCATTTTAGAACTATAAGAGATGGGATTCAAAACAGAACCTAATTCATAGAGTATTTTGGTTGAATTGATATGCAAAGAAAGAAGGTTATTGCATGCGTTTGAACTGCTCGATGAGTTAGCTACAATATAATTGCGAATATGTATATAATTACTATAATTATGTATATAATTCCTATATTTATATAATTACTATAATTATTATAATTATATAATTATAATTATATATATATTTATACTCACCTGCTATATATGCACACTAATGGTGCTCTTCGGCACTATTATGGTAATGATGGAATGCCTATTGTACATATATATATATATATATATATATATATATATATATATATATCATGGACAAAGGGGTGTAAAAAAAAAAAAAAAAAGTTTGCCAATGCCAAATGACGTCGTTCATGAACCCTACAAAGGACATAACTTTCATTTTAAAAAGAACACATTTAACTTTTAAATAAATATTAATATACTATCAAAGGCATTTTTGTATTTCGCAAGCACTTAACGGTTCTGTAACGGAATGGGGGCAATGTGATAGTTTATGTTATATCAGGGGGGTTTTTTAATACTCGAGGGGGTTAGTAGATATTTTCAATAAACAACAGGGGGTTTTCAGATTTTAGCCCTCGTTAATACGGGAGGTCATGGCCTCATCAATTACGCATTTTGATGGCACAAATTTGATTTAGATCAACGCTTCATTTGTTTTGACGAAAAATATTTGTTTAAAAAAAGGTTTTTTTTTGTCAGGTAAAACATTCTTTTATTTTTACTTTATCGGTGATTAGCAAAGGTATAGGTCGAGTTTATCTAATGGGCGTGTAAAATAACTTGTTGAAAATTGACAGGTAAGTTATTTTCATTAAGTTTTACCTCAGAATAACCTAAAACTCGAAAGTATTGATTGGTCTGTTCTGAATAATAAGATTATGAAGCATTATGACAATGATGTCTAGTTAGTTATGTAGCATGGACACGGATACGACACGACACAAATACGCGACATTTCAAATTTTAAAAAATTAGGACATGGGAACGACTTGGACACAGTTATATATAAATATAAATTTTTATTTATATACATGTATTGAGTAATATAATTATAAAACTTTAATTCATTTCTAATTTTTGTACTAAGAGTTGTAATAACTTTATACTATTGTATGTCCAATTATTCCACTACTTTGTTGTAATAGTGTTTTTACTTTAAATGAATAAATATCATTTAATGCTTTACTTGTAATAATGTTTGTAATGCCAATTTTTCTTAAAGAAAAAGTTGAACACTTTAGAATGTGTTCATATTATTTTAAAGATTATTGGGTAGGCTTATGTTAGAAATGTTTGAAAGTGTCAGCTTAAGTATCCAAGAAATGTCAGGGAAGAATCGAAAAAGTGTCCAAAATAATAAATAATTTTTTTTATATATAGACACGTATTCAAGGAGTGTCCGACGAATATCGGTGAGTGACACGAATACGACACGAGTACGGCATCTTCGTAAAAGTGTATGTGCTTCATAACTAGTTTGAAAAAGTGTCCATACTTCAGGCGCGAATCCTCTGATGTTATTATCCCTACGGCCTACTGCCTTGAGGCCTTGGTTTAGCCACGTCTTTTGCATTTTTAATATATGAGTGAGCTCCATTATAACCATAGAAAATGGCTTTTTTCGTTATTGATCCTTCCTTCTGTTAACTTATACGGAGTGAACTTTTTATTGAAATAATAATAATAATAATAAGAAGAAAAAAAAAAAGTTAATGAGTCATCATCACAAATTTGACCCTAAACAAAACAAAAATTCAAAGAGTCATCAACCAAAACAAAAAGCCAAAGAGGAGCTCTGCCCAAAGAACCCTAAATTCAAGCAAGGGTTTCAAATAGAGAACAACAGAACCTTGAGATAGGATTTTAGGGAAAAAGGTCCAATTTCGCAATAAGATTACAGTGTATATTGTTCAAATCTTTGTTTGTTGTATCAACTTCACCAACCACAAACCCTAAATTCAAGCAAGGGTTTTGAACCGAGAGCAACAAAACCATAAAGCAAGATTTTAGGAAAAAAAAAAGGTCAATTTAATTTGCAACAAGATTACAGGTGAGTCCCTTCTAGTATTGTCTATGTTTAATTTCATATTCAAATGTTGAGGAAAAGGATTTCCTTCATCTAGGTATTTTGATTGCACCCTAAACATAATTCTGGAAATTTATTTTTTTTTTTTTATTTTATTATTATTTTTTTTTTTTTTTTTTGCACCGGAACTTTGATTATGGACCACACACAATAATACCCAAATAGTGAATATTGAAATTTGACATTTGACATTTTCTCCAAAAGTTTATTTTCTAATTGTTATAAAGTTGGATTCTACACTACCAAATGCCTACTTTAAATGGGTATTTGCACCCTTGTCCCTAAAGTTGCACTTCACTTTGTCAATGCCAACTTGGATACCCCTCCCTCCCCCTCTCTCTCTCACATACAACATCTGAAAGAATACAAGAAGTGCATTCAAGTTTTGGCCATATTAAGGCGCCAATTTGCCCCTTTTTCAACTTTTTTCAAATTTTTCTTTTTTTTTTATTTTTTTTTTATTTATAGTTGGCAAGTTGGAGTTAATTTCACTGTTTCATTACTTGTCTTTTTTATTGTGCCAGGCCAAACAAAGTAACTCACTGTAGGGGATCGGGAATTCACTTCAGAGGATTCGCGCCCCTATCTATTCTATGTTTCATATTTATTTTTTAGCTGCTAAGTCACATTCTCATTTCTTATTTATTGTTCAATTGCCCTATGCAGGTGCAAAATTTCGCTCAACCAATAATGATTGAGAAAAATAAAACAACTCACTCAAAAACAATAAGAATAAATAAGAACAGTGTATAGAGAAGCGTAGAATTGCTTGATTCTTTTATTGAAGGTCTGGGCCTCTATTTATACACAAAAGATCGATTGAATTATGGTAGGACTCGCATTATTTGTCCTCCAATTCTTTCCCTACAGAAATTCTTTACAAATAGAGCTCATTCCTTTGTATAATTTTCCTTGTGTAGTAGTTTATTTCTTTGCTGTATCCTTCTTCTAATAGGACTAATTTCTTTTCAATGGATTTGGGCCATAAGTAACCTGATCCATGTGACATTGTTAATGGGCTGGATCTCTTGTTTCGGGCTTGAGCATTGCTACAGAGATCAATTAGCTGCAACCTTGGGCTAGTGCTTTATGATTTTGGGCTACCAACGAGCTTGGACTAGGCTTTGAGCAGGATGGACCTCTGACATTTGTGATGGATATTTATATTGCGATGACGTGTACAGTTCTCATTGGAGGGAGATTTTTCCCTCCACACTTTGCCCCCAATTCCTCTTTAATTGGATTACGGCTCTTAATTAAAGGGGAATTGAGGTTGTGCAGTTGCCACTTTCGCACGAGGCGTTTCCATTTGTGTCTATTGTTATTCTGACTCAAGGACTTCTTCAAGACTTGCTTTTGTTCTCACTGCGCTCATTTTGTCCCTCGCATTCTTCACATTCTCATATCTCCAGGTTAGTTCTTCTTTTCCTTCTTTCAATCTTACATTATGAGTACTTTGACTACTCCTGAACATATAGAAATCGCGGATTCTGAGTCCACGCCTTCGTGTTCCCCTAATCTCATTAGAGTTCCTCCTCCTAGGGTTTCGAACTTCCTTAAGTCTGTAAATGACTCGGTTAATCAGCCGAATGTTTCCCCAATCCAAGCTGAGACATCTACTTCTGGGTCGAACGGTATTTTTACTAAGGAATAAAGAAATGCAATTTTATCTGTTCGTCGTATTAAGTTTTCCATTGAATCTGTAATGGAAGATTTTGAGATCCCGAGGGGGTAGAAATCGTAGAATACCCCAAAGGTGCCGATTTTTGTGCCGGCGAAGGTGTAGGAGAAGACGAGTTGCTCCTCTCTGTTGGGCATCTCAACGTTCTTAGATTCCCCCTTCACCCTTTTTTCCATTTAGTTTTTAACAAATTAGGGATTGCACCCCTACAAGTAAACCCTAACTTCCTTCGAATAATC